CCCCCCCCCCCCCACTCGGGGTTAACATTGATAGGTGCATTAATTGTTTACATCAAATCTGAATTCACATATCTCAAGAGGAGACGGAAGTGACCTATCCTGTCTAATTTTCACTATGGCGAGCGAGCGACTGGTTCCGAGCCGAGAGTATGCATATTGAGATATGGCATATAGTAAAAATGCTATTGCAAAACTCGTAAATTTTAAGATTTTGATCGCAATTTACAAAAAAATTGCAGGGTTTATCGACAAAAACTTTTTAGAATTAGATTCAGCGTGTTTAAATCTATAAGGATATGTAAGTATTTTTTTAGCTTAGCATGGTGTACAGTGAAAATCGGTCTCTAGCCGTATACTAGCTCACGACCTATCATGCAATTTTTTCGCAAAGGCCCCGAGTTAAGTCCGATGAGCATTCGACTGTTGACGAAGCAGCCATGCTGTCGACCACAGAATAAGGCACACAGAAGGGCCACTACGTCGGAAGCTTTGAAGTTTCTGTCCTGGCCGCCATCTTCCTAGCCAGTCGATTACATTTTCTGGCCAATTAATGCGCTGTATTGGCTGAAGGCCCCACCTTCTGGCCAGTCAACTGCATATTTTTGCATAGAAAAATGGTGACACGTTGCACCGGTGAGTGGCCCTTCTGGTACTGATCTTTATTCTGTGCTGTCGACCGGCCGAGTACAAACAGACATTCTAAATTTTAAAACAATTTCTTTTTCTTGACTTCTGGTGTGCGTATCCCTCTAAATTTATTGCGAATGGAAAGTCTATAACTGTAACGCCATACCACTATATTTCATTCTACAAAATTGTAATGTAAATGTCGCAAAACGAAGACTCAAAGAGTAATAGTATGACAGAACTACAAACTGTGTGAGTGTCCGTATGCATGTACATATATTAAAAGCTTTAAAAACATTATCTCATGATATATATTATATAAATTTTAATATTATTAGCTAATATCCCTTTAGGCTATACTATATAAGCATATTATATAGCTTTTAATACGCATCAAAATATCGATTTTTGCAACAATTTGAACATAATTAAGGGATGGTAATCTTAGTTTCACGACGCGTAACCCTATCTTACCAACGGTACCACTGGTACCATTCGACATTATTTTTAAGGGTACCCCAACTGCCATGGCCCTTGGTTCACGGATGGTAAACTTACTTTCACGAACAGTAACCCTATCTTACCAACGGTACCACTGGTACCATTCGACATTATTTTGAAGGGTACCCCAACTGCAATGACCCTTGGTTCACGGATGGTAAACTTAGTTTCACGATCCATAATCATATCTTACCAATGGTACCACTGGTACCATTCGATATTATTTTGAAGGGTACGCCAATTGCCATGGCCCTTGGTTCACGGATGGTAAACTTACTTTTACGATCAGTAACCCTATCGTAAATTACCAACGGTACCACTGGTACCATTCGACATCCTTTTGAAGGGCACCCTAACTGCCATGACCTTCTTTCACGGATGGTAAACTTACTTTTACGATCCGTAACCCTATCTTACCAACGGTACCACTGGTAAGGATGCACTGTACAATGGATACAAATCGACAACAATACCGATGGTAGATGGTGGATTTATGAAATTTACCATCCGTATCGTATCGTGGTATTGGACCATGTTCATCTACGACGCAGTCAGCTCGACGACGTCGAGTCAATTTATGCTTGAAATAAGCCACAGGAATTTAATTATACTGCTTTAATTGTCTAAAACATGTTTTAATAATCTTACAAATGTTTAAATTGGCCTAAACGTACTCCGATGTTTAGTTGATGTTGTCATTCTGTCAACGTTATAAAACAGCTCCCATGTCGCAACGAGCTTTGATATCGCTAAGAAGACGTGAAAATTACTACCCAAGAATGGCAACGCTGGTGACGAAACCTTTGAATTTACAAATTATTCATCTCTTTTGTCTCGCATGACGTATTTCTTTGTTTTGCAAGCGCGTCGTCAAGCTGGCTGCGTCGTGAATCGTAAACTCTCTATTATTACTGGAGGACGTGCTCCTATCTTAGCTTTCCGTCACTCAAACGAGTGTCCAGAAAAACATGGCGGATTTTCATGTTTGCTGACGCCAGGGCGCTATAAAACACGGGCGTGGAAACGGCAATGACGCCCCTGATCTATGTGTGATGCGCGGACCCCCCGTAGGTTTTCGAATATTGGAAATTCTCATTCGAATATCAACATTTGAAAAGAAAGACACGGCATGCAAGAGTTAAAATATTATTTAAGAAACATGGTCATGGCCTAGTTGAACTCATTTGCAAATGAACACCAAAACGATTTACCTCTGGGATGAACTATATGGAATGAGAGGTTTATGTACTTAAAGTTTATGCTACAGTCAAGAGGGAATATTGTAAAGAAAATGTGGTTTGTCTAGAACAGCCTGAAAAGGTCAGTGCACTTTTAAAGACATAAAGTGGTTGAAACGGATATTTTTTCTAAAGATACGGTTTTTCCTACGAGTCTATAGCTTGGGACTATCTTTTAACGTCATAGAGAACTGAAAAAAATACAAGTCGAAATATTTTTTTCCGCGCTTCGTGTTTCATGAGTAAAAATCGCTGACAGTGCCGGTAAAAAATCATGTTTTAACAAAAAAGCCGGTCTTCTTTTTGAGAAAAATCAATTTTAGATAACTTTGACAACAACTGTGCAAATTTTTAGGCAAAGTTTTTCACCTAGGAAAAGGGATATAAATAAAAATTTTTTTCCGCGGTTTGAGTTTCATGGCCAAACATGTCAACATTGACCTTGTTTTTTTTAGTGAGACCATGGCTAATCAAGCCAAAAAGCTGTGTTTTAACAAAAAAGCCGGTCTTCTTTATAATAAAAATCGATTTTCAATAATTTTATTAATAACTGTGCAAAATTTTAGGCAAAGTTTTTCACCTAGGAAAAAAGATACAAGTCGAAACATTTTTTCCGCGCTTCGTGTTTCATAAGTAAAAATGGCTGACAGTACCTTCGTCGTTTCATGTGAGACCAGGTCAAAACTAGGTGAAAAAATCATGTTTTAACAAAAAAGCCGGTCTTCTATTTAAGAAAAATCTATTTTAAATAGCTTTGACAACAACTGTGCAAATTTTTAGGCAAAGTTTTTCATCTAGGAAAAAAGATACAAATAAAAATATTTTTTCCGCGGTTTGAGTTTCATGACCAAACATGTCTACATTGACCTTGTTTTTTTGAGTGAAACCATGGCCAATCAAGCCAAAAAGTTGTGTTTTAACAAAAAAGCCGGTCTTCTTTATAATAAAAATCGATTTTCAATAATTTTATTAATAACTGTGCAAAATTTTAGGCAAAGTTTTTCACCTAGGAAAAAAGATACAAGTCGAAACATTTTTTCCCGCGCTTCGTGTTTCATGAGTAAAAATGGCTGACAGTGCCTTTGTCGTTTCATGTGAGACCAGGTCAAAACCAGGTAAAAAATCATGTTTTAACAAAAAAGCCGGTTTCCTTTTTAATAAAAATCGATTTTCAATAAATTTATCAACAACTGTGAAAATTTTTAGGCCAAGTTTTTCACCAAGGAAAAAAGATATAAATAAAAATATTTTTTCTGCGGTTTGAGTTTCATGGCCAAACGTGGCTACATTGACCTTGTCCTTTCGAATGAGACTATGGCAAAACCAAGCCGAAAAGTTGTATTTTAACAAAAAAGCCGGTCTTCGTTTTAATAAAAATCGATTTTCATACTACTTTATTAATAACTGTGCAAAATTTCAGGCAAAGTTTTTCACCTAGGAAAAGGGATAGAAGTCGAAACATTTTTTCCGCGCTTCCTGCATACTAAATTAATTAATGGCTAACAGTAACAGTCTTTCATGTGCGACCATGTCAATACCAAGCCGAAAAACCATGTTTTAACAAAAAAGCCGACTTTCTGTTGGTAAAAATCATAAATTATATGATACTATATATCATTATAACAGTAAATTTTGTGATAAACAGCTATAGTTCATACATGAGCTAGACATTATGTTGAAATATCAACAAGACATTTTTGTCCATGCATGAAAAAAGTAAACTGAGAACTTTAATGCAATGTATATAAAGAAACGTTTTTGCCCGCTTTGAAAAGCCACTTCTTATTGGGTTTATAGAAAAGTGTTAGTAATATAAATAAATTATGCTGACAGGGTTAAAAATTCTGAAAAGAATTATGTTCACCTAAAGTTTTTTAAGAATTTAATTTACTGAAAAATTGTGTTGCAATGTTAACACTGACTTTTAGTTTGACCGCGATTTGTAGGCTTTTTATGTTTTAGCTCTCACGCGCTGTCGAGAAAATTATGTTAATGCCAAAATTTAAGCATAGCAAAAAAGCCGGTACGAGCCGGTCTTGGTATATATTGTGTACTAAAGCCAGAGAAACTCCACACATTTTTAACCTATCTAATTTATCTAGGCCTACCTAGTGTTCAGACAGCATTGATTTTAATCTCTGTTGTCGTGCGTAAAGTACACTGCAAAAAATGAAAAGCTTATTTTAAGAAAAAAAACTTGTTTTGAGCAAAAATTTCTTAATTTAAGCAAAATTATCTTGTCCCATACATAGGAAAATTTTTCTAGATAAGATTTTCTTGATCGAGAAAAATTGTCTTGATTTGAGAAATTTAATCTTACCAAGAAAATTGATTTAAGATAATTTTTCTTTTTGTCCCATACATAGGAAAATATTTCTTGGCTAGAAAATTATTCTTGATAAAAGAAAAATAATCTTACAAAAATAGAACGAATCTTACTAAAAATCTTAGCAAGATTAGTATTAATCTTACCAAGATAAATATAAATCTTATTAAGATTTTGGAAAATACATCGAATAATATAGAAATAAAGTTTTTATTTTACTTAACATATTTAGAATATAAAAATTAGCTTTACACATTATCGAAACAAATTACCATAATATAACGCTAACATCTAAACGCCTTGTGCCTGCATGGTAAAAAAATACAGAAAAAAATACAGTAAAAAAATACAGAAACTCCGTGCAAATAACTTTTCTCTATTCAGCAATGAATAATTTATATAAAGGTAAGGAAAATTTTGTTCTGCATTCAAAATAGGCGGGACCTGAAAGTTGGAATTTGAATTTCATGCATTGTTTGACTATCAATTATACATTAATGAAATGCAGGCAATGACACTATTACGAGCAGGACTTTTGTGCAGAACGGACTTTCTCCCGCCTTTAATTTAAAAGATAAAATGAAAATTAATGAAAATTATTTTTACTTTGCTCAGATGCCCAGTCCACCCTATGCTTAGTAATTAATAATCCATTCCAACATACAAAATTTGAACACAACTGTCAACTTTTTAGCTACTGTAGCATGTAAGTCTGTAACTATAAAAATATTGTTCCTTTAATAAACAATGTCCAAGTCTTCAAGTATTTTTTTCAGCTCTGCTGTGCTACAGTCTGGATGCATTTGGTTGTCGTTGAAAATTATCTTTTGTAGGACTGATAGAGACATTAGCCACTTGGCTGGGTAATCCAGGTCAAGGAGATAAAACGTTGCAACGAATGCCACTACTGCTTGAACAATCTCACCTTCTTTGAAGGAAAGGAATATGTCTTTGCCTATTAAAACCATTGATCCATTTTTCCTGGTAACAACTAGCCCAGGCACACACCCCTGGCGCATCTGCTGCCAGTGATCTGGTTCCTCATCATCCTACAGTAAGATACAAACAAATAATGAAAAAAACGTTACAATACTCAAGTTATGTCACATTGCTTAAGAAGAAAGTGTTCGTGCATGATGAGAAAATGTCTGGCTCTAAAAAGTTAACATATTTACTGTAGAAAGGGTGTACTGTGAGCGTTGAGTCTTATTAAAGGGCCGGTCGAAAACAAAGTACTACAAATTTTTAACCAATAATTAGAGTGTCGGTGTGGTTTCCGAATAGCCACATACCTCAAGGAAATGCACGATGTCATCTTTTTGTTTCAATGGTTTTCCCTTTGATTTGAAGACAACGTTGATTTCTTTGAGCAAATGAATCATTTTCTGATCTAAATCGTTACAATCATATTATTCAGTTTTTACATTCAAAATTGCAACGTTAACACGTACAATCTGAATGGAATACTCACCACCCAGAAGAGCATCTGGGTGGTTTAATGGTGCCCTTGGAAATGCCATAGTAAATGATCACGTCTACGTTATTTTTCAGGGCTTTTACACATCTTTTCATATAATCATCCGGCAATTGAGACCCTGGAAGTTTCAGATTTCTTCTAACCTCTTCTACAATCTTCAAATTATAGAATATATTTAATTTTTCATTGATAACAGCAGTTTCACGTGATACACGACCAGCTCACTCAATCGCCTTTTCACCTGATCTTGGAACATTCAGCCATAGAATAAGGATGTAACCAGAAGTCTCACTTCCGTCGGAACCTTTGATGTTTTCGTCCGAAAAAATGTTGCTTGTCCACCCGAATCAACGCCATCCTGGCTAGTACAACCGGAAAGTACAAAGTGCCGGCTGTACTAGCCAGGATGGCGTGGATTATGACGTGTTCGCTTTGAAAACGCGGACAAATTTTTGCTTCAGTGAGGCTTCTGGTCGTATTCTTTATTCTGTGATTCAGCTCTTTGAAAGCGAAAGCTACATATATGTCAAATTGGTGCCTTAATGTAAAAAACAACTATTGCAATAAAGCTGTCTGAGTGAGCTGGTCGCATATCGTGTGAAACTGCTGTAAACAATTTGGAATGCTTTTACGATTGGATGGGCATAACTGAGGGGTTATGCCCATCGGTATCCTTTGATCTTAGCGTTTTTTTCTGAGGGGTAAGGCAAAAATGTGTAAATTTCTGAGGGGGTGAGAATGTTGGCACTTTGATCTTTTTTTCTTAGGGGTTCGAACTTTACTTATCTCGTCCATATGGGGGGTGTGAATTTTAAATGGATGGCCCCAAATATTTTGATCAGAACTTTGCATTTCAGATATTGTTAATCTATATCCCAGCACAATCCTTTTGGCCTTTTATACATCCACACTCTGAGGTTTTATATAGAGAATATTTCTCTCGAGAAAATTATTCACAGCTTGATATACAAAAGGTTGATTGGTTGCCAAGACAATATAATGATATTTATAAAACAGTTCAAAAGCCAAATTCAACAAACTAAGCCCCCTGTTCACTACGTTTATACAAAAAAAACATTACTGTACTGGGATTGCCAGTAAATGAGGCGAAAAACAGGTTTCAACTCACTTTAATTATAAAATATACGGAAAATTACAAAATAGTAATTAGTGGTAAAACACTGTTTTCCTTCGCACGCCATATTAGCTCTCATGCGCATGCTCTAACAAAACGTAAAAAACATCGTTCAAAAGGCGATCGCAGAGATTATTGTCTACAACTTTACTACAACCCAATACACCGGAAGGACTGGGGTCGATGCGATCGCGTCTTAAAATCTGAATGTAAATTTCTCTAATGCATTGTTCACTCAATACTATATAATGTCACTGTCCGTTCATACACTCTCTTTTGCTTCCGACTTGGTTTCCTGGTCTTGATCCATATCCACTGGTACTAATAACGATAATCGCTGAGCACTTCGTGACACAATGACAGCCTCGTTATGTCCTTTGTATTTTTGTACCTTTTCTCCAATTTGAAAATTCTTGTACATCACATTTACTCGACGAACTTTTCCGTCTTGACTGGGAAACACTTCTTGTACTATACCTAAACGGTAATCTCCTCGCAAGGTATTACGGTCGGCGATGATTACAACATCTCCTGGGCGCAGGTTACGGTTGGCTGTACTCCACTTGCGACGAATAACCAAGGTTGGGGCGTATAACTCCGTCCATTTCTTCCAGAACTCGTCTGTCACGATCTGGACAACATGATAACGCTTTCCTGGATTATTACCGTTAGGCTGCCATCCACCAGGATTTTTGTTCTTCAGGCGCTGTCCCACTACCCAGAGTCCACTTTCATCTTGGACTGGATTCAAACAAGCGAAACGACCACCTTTTCTGCCTTTGCGGTCAGTTTTTGTCAGTTCACTTTCAAATGATTTCTGAACTTCTTTAACAATAAAGTTCTCGGCTTCTTGTAATTGCTTAACCGAGATGGACAGAGTCCTTCCGCCTTTAAAACTTTTCTTCTTCGCAATGTTTAGCAATCTCGCGACGACCCAAATAGCTTTGTTGATATTGCTGAATCTTTCATAGTCGATCAACAATGCCTCTACGCTCGCTGCTGCTACTACAACATGGACTTTCTTTTCACCGGGGAGTGGTTCTTTCTTTGGGTTAAACTTTAATCCCCATTCTTCTATCGGTCGGTATAGAATCGGCGGTTCATTCCACCAATGAGAATCGTTGTTCAGCTCCTGTGGTGTTCTGCCGCGTGTCAACCAGTCAGCTGTATTATGTTGGCCAGACATCCAAGCCCAGCAAGTCAGATCTCCTTCAGTTGCTGCTTGGATTTCTCCGATTCGTACTCCCTCGTAAACTTTGAAACGTGTGCTTGTCTTGTGGATCATACTCAAGACTGTTTCTGAGTCCACGATTTGTAAAACTCTCTCGAAGTCGAACCTCATTTCTTTCTCGATGACCTTTCTTCCTCTTTTCGACAGAACAGCTGCGTTTAACTCCATCTGAGGGGTAGATAACTTATTGATTGGAGCAATACGACACTTCGCCATGATCAACCTACACCAGTAGCTTCCATCATCCAATTTCCATCGAATGTAAGCTGCGAAGCCATACGCGAGATCACTACCATCGCTCAAGATTATTAACCAAGGGCGTCCATTGCTATTCACAGGTCGTAAGCATCGCTCCAAACACAAACGCTGAAGTTTGAAAAGAGCAGTGAAGAAATTGGACCATTTGTTGCAAAGTTCTGCTGGAAGTGGGTCATCCCATCCGAGCTTGCGGGACCAGGTTTCGCGTAAGTATATCTTGGCCATCAATGTAAATGGAGAAATTAGTCCGAGTGGGTCATAAATCTTCATTACTTGCTCAAGAACGATTCGTCTGGTTAACACATTCGGTAATGCACTTGGTAGGTCGCTTTCTAGCAGGTTTGGACCGGTTCGAACTCCGCGTCTCTTGCTACTGAAATTCAAAGTTACTTCATAGGTGATGGTGTCTTGCTTTGGATTCCATCCCAGACCGAGCACTCGTAAGTTTTCGTCAGTTCCTTTTAACATTATTAGTCCTTGGTCTGAGCTTTCAACACTCTTTTCTGGCAGGTCCAATTTTAACAACTCTTCTTTCACGCGAGGTTGTGTTTCGCCACTAAATTGCCAGCACTTTACAGCAAATCCTCCTTTGGCAAGGATATCCTCGGCTTCCTTGGCAATCTTTAACGCGTCGGGTTTACTTGGACGTGAGTCAATCAAATCATCCACGTAACTGGAATGTTTTAGGAGATTTGCGGCTTGTGGACTATCCTCTCGATACAACTCCGCGGTCTTGTAGACAGCTTCTGTGCTGATGGCGGGGGCTGGTGTATCGCCCATATTGACTCGTTGTATAACGTAAATGTCCGGTGGGCGATGCTGCTGTAAATCTCGCCATAGGAAACGGTGGCAATGCTGTTCCAAGGCCTTCAAATAAACCGAGTTGAACATCTTTCGAATATCTCCGATTAGCGCTACTCTTTCTTCTCTCCAACGTAGAAGAATACCAACCAAGTTGTTCATGTAGCTGTCTGGACCTTTTGCGAGACAAGCATTTAATGAAACACCTTTGTGCGTTTGGCTGGAGTTGAACACAATTCTCACGGGCGTAGAATTGGAATGCGGGTTTACAACTGCTAAATGGGAGATATAGAACACCGGGCCAGTCCAGCTCTTTACTTCTTCGGATGCTAGTTTTCTTGCTACACAACGATCGACCATATCGTCCATTTGGCTCTTGTACGTCTTAGCCCATTGGTCATCTTTCTTAAGCGTTCTTTCAGTTCTTTCTAACGTAGCAAGTGCTGTGTGATAATTGTCGGGTAAACTTTGTGGATCTACGAGCCAGGGATAACTGGTTATCCAGCATTGGTTAACTTCGTCGTACTCGAGGTTTTCTTGAATCAGTTTTAATTCCTGTTCTTCCTTGAAAGAGTAAGTGTGTCCGACAGTAGGGCACTTATTACAGCGACATCCACCACATTGTGGAGAAATTTCGGTGGCAAGTTCTTCTCCTTGTATAAAATTGTCAATCTGGCTTTCGTCCTTTCGGTGACTATAGGAACTCGATACATTAACAGAACATTCTCTGGTATGATTGGGATGGAACTCTGGATGTGAGTCCAAGCGTGTCTTGTATGTCTCCACTTTCACGTTAACATCGTGTATCTTCTTTGCGAGATTGGTGTCATATCTTGTTTCTTCGATCAGATCTGGATGGGCGCCTTGGAGGCAAATCCCCAATGCTCCATTCATGATACTTAGATTGTCGCCACATCTAGCTTCTTCTTGCTTTGGATGGAGACCGAAGTAATCACAGCCCAGCAGGACATCCACGTGTGTTGACTTTCGCTGGAGTGTTTCAGGATCATATTCTGGAAATAACTTTACCAGGACTTTAGGATCCAGTTTGCTTACTTGTCCAGTAATTCGCTCCATGCCAAAGGCCGTAATAGTGACTTTCTTTCCAGCACTTGTGTTGATTGGAAACTCGTATTGCCACGTGTTGTACGTTTTCTCGACATTTCCCATAGTTGTCACGTCAAGAGAGAGTTTTTTAACTTTCTTTGCTTTGATTCTTTCCGCAGCACGATGAGTGATATAACTTGCGTTAGAGCCTCCATCACAGAAGACGGACACTTTTCTACCACTGTCGCTAATGGTCGCTTGGTGGATAGGGTATAATGCCATTGAATCACTTTCTACGGTATAGGATGCTAATTCCTTGTTCCCATCATCTCCAGTTTTCGATTTCTCCCCGGAATCTTTTGGGAGCTTTGGTGGGATGCACAGCAGGGAATGATGTTGGTCACTTCCACATGAGGAACATGGGAGTTTTTTGGGGCAGTTAAGCTTCCTATGATTACCAAAACATTTGAAACAAGCGTTTACCTGCTTCAACAACTCATATCTGCCATCTTTACCGCTGATGGACAACTTCTGGAATTCTTTGCACTGTTCGGTGGTGTGATTTATGGTGTCTTTTCTGTGGGTGGGGAAGGCACACTTGTAGTAGGTTCTTTGTCCGTGTTTTGCACCTCTTTCAACATGAAAGGTTTTGCTGTATCCTCTTGCATTGTCATTTCCTCTTTTCTTAGAATGCTGATTCTCTGCTAAACGAGCCACAACTGAACGTTCTCTGTCTAGGAACTTCATTAGCGGAGTAAATGGTTGAAGCTTCTCGGCAGACGATAAATCACGATACTTTCGTCTCCAGTCGACTTTAAGATGGGTAGGTAACAAATCAGTTAGGTTGTCTACATCTCGCATGGTTAAAGTGTTTAGCTGGTTGAGCTCTTCCAATTGACTGTAGGCAGATTCAACTTCATCACTAATTCAACCAGAGCTTTATAATCTTCTTCTTTTACAGGTTTTAGCCTTTGAAGATCTTCCAAAGCAGCTTGTACACTGGCAGTAGTATCTCCATAGTGACACTCTAGCTTTTCCCACATGATATCGTAAGCTTCGGGCTTGGTGACAAAAACAGATTTGATGCGGTGTTTGGCTTCTCCTTTAACTGAGTTCTTAAGTTCGTGTGCTAATGCAGTTTTATTATAACTTGCAGACTCAGCCATAGACTTCCAGACTGCCTTGAACTCTGGCCAGTCTTTCCTAAGTCCGGAGAATGTGGGTAGGGCCATCCTTTTTAGCCGAATGGTGGAATCTTGGTGGGAAGGTCTTGTATTAATCAACGGGACTGTGGGTTGATGTCCAGATAGGGTTGTATACATAGGACTGGTTGACAAATTGCTCCTGGTCTGATTGTGGTTGCTATGATAGCTGGATGCCACTCTTGGCAGATTTGATCCCATTGGCATTGCAAATGGAGGGAAACCTGTTGATAAATTTGTAGGATTCTGACATTGCTGAGACAAATGCGTTTGTCCCGATGTGGAACTGCTTTCCGAATGAAAGGTGGTAGAGGGAATGAAGGTTTGAGCTGATGTATTCAAGCAAAAACCCGTACTGGTCCCAGGTAAGGTTGGTAGGGGGGTGTTGGCCTTTGTAATGTTGGTGGTAACTTGGGTGCCAAAGGGACTGGAGTAATTAATGGGGGGAGCGTTAATTGGCAACATAGGTGGAATTGTGTTGGTCTCGATAGCAGGGGTGTCAATAATTTCAGGGTGGGTTGCAGTGTAAATGGGCTCAGGGGGGATATTGGTGTTGATTACCGAGGGGGAAGTGGTGCTGATGGTCTCAGGGGGGGTGTTGGTTTCTGGGGGGGACATGGTGTTAATGGTATCCGTGTCCTCAGGGGGGGTGTTGGTGTTGATATCCGGGGGGGTGTTGGTGTTGATGGTCTCAGGGGGGTGTTGGTGTTGATTTCCGGGGGGAGACATGGTGTTGATGGTCTCAGTGTTCTCAGGGGTGTGTTGGTGTTGATTTCCGGGGGGAGACATGGTGTTGATGGTCTCAGTGTTCTCAGGGGGGTGTTGGTGTTGATTTCCTGGGGGAGACATGGTGTTGATGGTCTCAGTGTTCTCAGGGGGGTGTTGGTGTTGATTTCCGGGGGGAGACATGGTGTTGATGGTCTCAGTGTCCTCAGGGGGGATGTTGGTGTTGATCTCCGGGGGGGATACGGTGTTGATGTTCTCAGGGGGGGTGTTGGTTTCAGAGGGGAGAGTGGCAGTTTCAATGTGTAATGATTTAACAAATGCTTGTTGCTCATGCAAAAACAAGTTTATCTTTCTGATGCAATTGTAAACTGCTCTGATAATAGCATCGACATCTTCTTGGATTAGGTTAACTTGCTCTTGTGTTTCAATCGAGCCAAGTTTTGCCATGTTATCACATATTATGTTCAAAATTGACTGTAGATCATTTTTATCTAGTTGTAAAGCTGCCATATTCACATTTTCCAGTTTGAAACTCTCATCAACGACTGTGATTAGTTCATGAATTCTACAGATGTCATTCTTTAGGGCAACTTTGACAGGCCCAGCACTTTGTTGTCTAGCTTTTTGTTCGATTGTTGTCTTTACACTAACAAATACACTCCTAGCTTCTTCATAGCACCTTTTTACATTGTCTCTGTAAGTCATAATGTCTTCACCATTAACTACACGGTGTTCAGCGTATTTTTCGTCAGATACAATAAGTTCGTATTCCTCATTTATAACGCAAAAATCATCAAATACCTTTTCAAGTTCGAACATTGAATCCTTTAAAATATCATATTCACAATCTCTGTTGTAGGCTCCGATCAGACGCCTCGCAGCGACAGTGACCGCCATTTTAGCCTTGCTTCTTTCTTGTTTTTTATCTTCAACATTCATGGCTGATTCCTGGATTTGTCTTCAAGCAATACACAAGTTTTGGGCTGCAAAACTCCTTTGTATTTAGGCTTCTTCACAATTCTGGAATGCCACAGCGAACGTTAGTGTTTTACTGTACTGGGATTGCCAGTAAATGAGGCGAAAAACAGGTTTCAACTCACTTTAATTATAAAATATACGGAAAATTACAAAATAGTAATTAGTGGTAAAACACTGTTTTCCTTCGCACGCCATATTAGCTCCTCATGCGCATGCTCTAACAAAACGTAAAAAACATCGTTCAAAAGGCGATCGCAGAGATTATTGTCTACAACTTTACTACAACCCAATACAATAACCCTTACCTAAATAGACAAGCCAGGCTAAGTTGATATTAAATCTGGGATAAGAAATCTTAGTAAAGTTTTTATTGTGTATTTTACATGAATTTTTATACATTACCTTGAACTACTGAATACAAAAAGACTACACTCTATAAATTTCCTTTCTAACCTCCCCACTCCTACAAACTCGCTGTAAATTTGTTGTAACTTGTAAGTGCCCTTGTATTCTATGACTCCCCAGAAGTGATCAGGTATTCTATACCGTGCTGTTCAGAGAAATTTGGGGGCCGGTGCAAGAATCAACTGGGGGCCCCTCTCCCATTGGGATTATTATCACAGTTAATAATAGCAATCTATCTAAGTATCTATAGCTATTTAATAATATTTTATAGATTTTTATAACATCTTTAATTTATTTCTCCCTTCCTTGAGCCTGAGGCAAATTGCCCCCTTTGCCCCCCCCCCCTGAACGGCCCTGATTCTATACACTAGCCTCAACCTCGTTCCCAGGCTCTTTGCTCTTGGGACGAGGTTGCACTAGCCTTTGATCGTGAATAGCACGAAGTACCTGATACAGAGTGTCCAAAAAACGCCATTCTCCTCTCAATTGTCCGTTTACTGACCCCGATTATTTTGCTGATTTCGGAAACCTTGAACCCCTTTTCAAGAAGAAACGATAATTGTTCTTCTTTTATATCGTACGAGGGTCGGCCACGACTTGCTCGAGAAACTTGTCTAGCAGCATTATTTTCTTCACTTCGCGTTTGGAGTTCTTGTCTGGATTGGTGTTCCATTTGTTCCATATTGAAAAGAATATTATATGCCTCTCCAACATTTGCACATATCGAATCATCAAGATTCATATTTACTAGTAACCGTTGTAAAAAATCAAGTTTCAGCATAAGCTCTTGGTAGTCTACATTAGCGTCTCGAGACTGTGAAAAACGGTCGATGGAATTTATCACATCAAAAATTGCCTGTAGCAAGTATTGTTTGTCTTCTTCCTCCATTTTGAAAATATAATGACTGAGCCCGCGAACAACAAAGACATTGGATTGCGGTTGGGTATCAAAAGTTGGTCTTCAAAAAATAAGTTGTGTTTTCAAAATCAAAAGTTGGTCTTCAAAAAATAAGTTGTGTTTTCAACCGATAAACTGGTGATCTTCAAAAACAATGTTGTTATTTTAATAAAATGAATATGATCCTCAAAATATGATATGGTGAAATGCAAAAGTTGATTTTTGGCGGACATGGGACACCATACAATAATAGTATAATTATGCTATAATATATATTTAGCAACAGGGTCTTAAAGATGATGTCCACTCCTGTGCACATGCGCGAACTTTGTTTACGTTTTGAACTGCTGCATTTGTAAAATATGATATAGTAACTGAATATCGAACACTTTTCTGGTTCGCTATACTTGTAAATGAATATAAACTGTACGTTTCAATTCAAAAAAGTTCGAAAGATGCAACATTTGGGCAATGTTCATATCTGGGGGTCCCCCTTTGTTATGAGCAGAACTGATGCGCAGAACGGAGTGGAAATCAGCTTTAACTGTAGCTATAGACTATAACAGAACGGGACTTGATTATTTATATAAAGCCGTGTGGTTCATAAAATAGAGCGTTGCTATACTTATAACAGACAGAATTTACCTCTCATAAAATAAAATCTAGTTTGTGGACATTGGTAAAGTGATCCGTGCATGTTTTCATGTTTAGGTGGATATACATGTAGTGCAATCATATTGGTGTCAAATATACCGTCTAAACTCTTGTAATGTCAGTGTGATATACAGCGTTTGTTGCCCTTGTATTTGGTCGTAACACATTAAACAACCACACACACATATCAGGATTTTGGGCATCTCACTCAATATAACTAATAGACAATTCCTATTATAGACTAATTTTAAAACTAGGCAAGGAGATGCAAATACGGTTAAGGGATTTGTAGCATACAGTAACTGGAACCATGGTTTTGGCTATTCTATTTTGGCAATTAGCAGATACACTCTCTGGAAACGTTCCATGCGTGTATGTGCGCGCAAGAAACATATGACTGGTAAGCACCCTTAACAATGGTT